CATCACGATCTCCTCTCCATCGATCAAACCAACGCAAAGACCAAATCTTTTCACGGCCTTCGAAGAACAGCGAGGCGGTCAATGGGGGGCCCGAGAAGAATCATCGGATTCCCTTCTTTCTTTCTCCCTTCTCAATAAAACAAAAAAAAAAAGCTCTCAGCGGGGAGTTTTCTCCTTTTCCTTTATTTCTCTGCCAAAATCTCAGGCTTTAATTCGAAATGTTGGAATTGGTCAGGGTTTACGTTACGGATGAAGGAGAATGGAGGAAAGATTTTTTGGGATTATTAGGATTCTGAGCAGGGGGGGGCGAGTGGATTATGAGGTGTGGGCCCTTTATCTATCTTTCAATATTAATTAATTAATTTTTTTTTCTTTCAAATAAAAATGGAGGCGATTGGATAGATGTGATTTTATGGAAACAAGAATAAAATGATGAGTCAACCAAACTTTACCCAGCTTCATTGTCAATTCTATCAAGAAAGAATGTGCAATAAAGATGAGTTAGGGGCTGTTTGGTTGTATGTTTTTACCATGTAAAAAGATGGAAAGTGTAAAAAAATGGGTCCCAATGTCAGTTTTCATCACTTTCGATTGTTTGTTTGTAGTTGTGAAAATAGTGTAAAGTGATTTCATGTGCTGATGTGACTTGTAAAGTTATTTCATAAAAAAAACACGATTTTAGGAGTAAGAGGACATTAAAGATAGGAAAAAATAATAAAAAATAATTCCAACCAATATGATCATCTGAGTAGGGGTAACTTTTTACACTTTCCAAACAATCAATTAAAGTTACATTTGCAAACCAAACAAGCAATTTATGATTCCAATGGAATAAAAAACAAACAAAGAAAAGTATAAAAATAAAATTGATGAGGTGGACAACAACTTTCCAAGTTGTGTCATAAATACATAATTTTACCAACAACAACCAAACAGCCCATTATGGTAAGCTTTGATAATGATAAGCTTGGGCGAATAAACTTTGTTTAAGAATAAAAGATAAGACGTAATAATGGAAACTATTTTTATGAAAATCATGAAAATCTATATTTATACCATTATAAAGAAAATATTAGGATGTTAAAACTTTTAATTTTCTTTTTTGTCCTCTCAAATTTTGATAAATTCAAATTATGTCATTATCTCTAATTATTTTTTTATTAAATGAATATAACCTCTTATTAATTATGCACTTCCTCATCTTCCTAAATAATTATAATTATCAATAATATTATAACTATTAATTGTTTAAAAATAATAAAATAAAATAATTTATAAAATAATTATACACAATTGTTAGTAGTAACTAATAAATTATTATAATAATTATTTATGAATTACAATAAAATAATTAAAGTAATAGTATAAATAGAATAATATATTATTAAATACTATTAAGAATTATACTATAATTCAATGAGCAATAAAATGGATAGAATAAATTATGAATTGCATAAATAGTATAATTATAATCATATAACATAAATTATGATTTACACTATTTATTTAGAATTATATTATTAAATCATTTAATATTATTTTTAGAGTATTTTCTCAAAGATTATTACACGATACTGAATAATCTATACTTGGTAATGATTGAAAACTAACTTTTTTACAAAAAATATTTAATATTAATAATAGTATATTAATTGTTAATGATAGTATAATGAAAATTTATAAAATATTTATAGTACTTAATTATTTAAGAGCACAATTAAAAAAATTAAGTTAGGTAAGTATTGTAGATTATATAGATAGTATACTTACTTTAATAGTAAGAATTATAATACTAAATAAGGTAAATTACAGTTTACCCCCATGAACTTTCAGCATTTGCAGTAAATAGATCCTATGAACTTTCGAAATCACACTAAACCCCTGATAACTTTTGTAGAAATCACCAATATCTTTTAGACAAATTGCACCAAAACCCCACTAACTTTCAAAATGCCTTTTTGTGCCATTTATGCTTCTAGCGGTAATATGCAAAATTCAAAAAGTTATTACCATTTAGGAACATAAAGAAAAAACTAGCAAGATTAATGCACATTGGTTAATTTAGAGTTAAGTTAACAACTTTTAAGCTGGATGGGCGTATTCAAGAGAACTTATAGAATTGACAGTTTTATTTAAAAACAATTTTAGATTTGGGAACTTATTTAAAAAAGGTTAACACCAAGTGATTATTATAAGAAAAATATTCAATAACAATAACTACACAATAGTAATTAATTCATATATTTATTTTTAAACAATCTTATTATACAATTTTATTTATCAACACATGGTTTTAATATTTAATAAAAAAATTAAACTTTAAACATGTTCGTTCACGTGTAAAGCACGAGCATTATACTAGTTCACTAGAAAAGAAAACTAATATACTAAGAAAATTATTTTAAAAAGATTAGTATAATGCATGTGCTTTGCACATGGATATGTTATTGTATTTAATAGTATATTATTTAATAAATTATATATAAATGTTTTACAAAGTTATTTAATTGCACTATGATTAATTTTTTTTAAGTTATACTATATTTAATACTCATACTATTATTAACATACATTTAATAGTTATTTAATTTAGCTTATTATTATATTATTAAACAATTTATTTAGGAGTATAATTATTAAATAATAATGTAATCATTATTTTAAGTAACACTATTGATATAATTAAACCATTTATATTATTAAATATTTATGTTATGGACATATTTTACTATAATATTTATTAAATAATGGCAGTAATTTTTAATATTATATGACTTTATGCTGTAAAATATATTACCTTGCTCGATAATTAATATCATCTTAGTAATAAAAAATTGGATGGTTTAAATTAAAAATGCTATTATTTAGGAAAAGTACTTTATATAAAAATATTGGATCCTTGAAATTTATGAGACATTTATTTTCCAACAAAAAGTGAATGACTCATAGATTTCGAAAATCCAATATTTTTATATAAAGTAACTTTTCTAAATAAAATTATTTTTAATTCATAATGACCCATTTTTATTACTAAGATGATATTATAATATTGAAAAGGGTGATATTCCTTATAATATAAAGAATCAACCCCTATTTATACTATTATTAATAACTATAATTATGTACAATATTTTATTAAATAAATAATTTTACTATTTCATTACAATTAATAATTCCTTTATAATGAATTACAATATATTTATTAACTTTATTATCATAATAAATTATTAATACATTCTAGTGAGTGACCAAATATTTTGGGAGAAAGAAGAGAAAAGTATATGTCTCTTAAATTTCATGTATCTAAATATTTTTTTTATAAATTAATTTTTCAAAATAAAAATATTTTTAATTTATAATGTCCAAATTTTTATTACCAAGATGATATTAATTATCGAACAAGGTAATATTCTTTGCAAAAAAAGAAGTAACCCAATGTATACTATTATTAATAATTATAATTATGTGCACTAATTTATTAAATGAAGGACTTTTACTATTTTATAAATTAATAATTATTTATAATAAATTATCAGATATTTACGAATTTTGTTATCATTATAAATTATTAATATATTCTAGTGAATGACCAAATAATTTGAGAAAATGAAGAGGTGCATAGTTAATAAGAGGTTTGGATTTGTTTTATAAATGATGGTATAATTGTGAGAGATAAAAAATTAAGAGGTAAAAAGGGAAATCAAAAATTTAGACATGGATATTCTCTTTTATAAATAGTATAGATATAGATATAGATATAGATGTTGGAAATTTATCAAATAATTAAGATTATAGCATGCAGATAAATCCGAAAAATTAAAAACAATTAAAACTGGCCTGAACGGGAGCAGTCGTGTATTCACTGCCTTAGAAGATTGAGAATCCCCCCTAGTGGTAAAAGCCCTCAGAAACGGCCGACCTCTACACTCGGGCGAGAGTGCAGAGCTTCAGCTCAGATGAAGGAAGTTGCCCATAAAATAAAACTAAAATGTAGATGAAAATAATATGTAGGGGAGAGAAGAAAAACAAGAGAAACTTGTTGTATATTTTCCTTTCTTATCATTTTGAGCTTAACATATGGATATATATATAGGGTTGGAAAAGACGTTACAAAACCCGTAATTAATTCTGTAACGTTCCCATAAATTTTGTAACGTTCCCCATAATTATATATCCGTTATACATATTTTAAACATATTTTTAATTGCAATGTTTTAATTATAATATTTATTATAATTCATGAAGGCAAAATTGCCTTTTGTTAACAAAATATCTAACAGTCCCCCCCAAAAGGCAATATTGACTGAAGACTCAGAAATCAATAAATAAATCAAGAAATCATAAATCAAATATAGGTTGGGCAACTTTTCGTATCGTGAATTCGAGAGAGGTAGCTTTCGGCTTTGAACATTTTCTTAGTGAGTTCATCGCCACCTGAGGGACATAATGGACTAGGCCTTGAATTAGGCCCCTTTAATCAGGTATTGATGAAAACACACACAATACGCTTCATCTATTGAGCAAAGCGGGTTGAGCGTTAAAGGCCATGCTCACAATAAACCGACTCATGAGAGTTTCTAGGGGTTAGCCCAGCCCCCCCTAACCGCGGCCATCACGGTTCCTCTCACGTAGGTAAGTCCTCAAAGGGTACTACAGCTGTTTATTTAATACCCCCCACAATACACGCGTTGGACTTATTAAGAGTAAAACTCAGCCTAGCCAGCTGTATCATAAGAGCATCGTCATCATAGAGAAGGGGTAGTAGCAAATGCTACATAATGATATATAAATATATCTAGGTCGATGCTCCACACGAGTGTCACTAGTCCAGCTTGTTTCTACCACATTGAACCGACATTGGGACTACGTCTCCAAATAAGGGTTGGGTTGCCGCTGTCAGTGACCTCATCTATGGGCTTAACCCCATCTCCCTCGATGAATCCAGGACCACACTCCTGGATAATCCCTTAGTCAAAAGGTCATCAAGTTTCTTTTTACAGACATTACAAAGTCTAGAATCATAACTTTGCCTAGCAGGCGTTGTATTTATTTATCAAGTTCTTATTTTGTAATTAGTCCATCATATTGTTTGAAATTGACATTAGGTCATGATCTATGATTATAAAAGATCATAGTCCATGTCTGAAGATGTAAACACATAGTGTTTGTGCAGATTAAGATTTGACCTTAATATCTGAACATTTCAAACTAATGTGGAACTAAAAATTCTGCAGTTATGCATATGCACATACATGAATGAAATTAATAATATATACATGCAAAGCATAATAGGATTTTGTATCTTAAAATATATTTTCGTATCTTAAAATATATTTCATACTTCATAATTCAAATGCATAAAATTTTTAAAATTATTCTATTATAAGAGGTTACAAATTGGTTGCCTATAAAGGAGACCTTCCAAATTTAAATCGGTTGCCTACAAATGAGACCTTCCAAATTTAAATTGGTTGTCTACAAAAGAGACCTTCTAAATTTATGTTGCCATTTTCTAGTACCACCTCTTATACAAATAATAATAATAATAATATTTGTACATACGTGCTTTAAATTTTTCAAGTGTATTCTTGCATAACACCTTGTAATTAATCATGTAACAAATGCAAGTTATCTAAGAAGACATATGAACATTTATTACAATATTCATCAAAGTGCAATAAAAGTGATGAACTTTACATTTGAATAATATAATTCACCATATAAAATAGAATTTTAAAAGATGCACCTCTTTGATTTGGTTCGCTCATATATTGATCATTTATCATTAGGCAATATATGATGCAAGAAGCGTAATTAAATAAATGCATATGAATTATTCTCATAATTCTGGTCCTCTTATTCCAAACCAAAAACTCCTAAAGTGAAAATATTAAAGTTTTACTCGGGTAGTTAGCCAGGTAAGGATAGTAATAGAGGTTGATCAAAGATCAATTAAGTACCTCGTTCCTTGCAGAGCGCATTACGCAACCCTTAAACCTTGCCTTAGACACCAACTAATCCAAGAAAACTTGAATCGGTTCACTCAATGAGTTTTTGTTTCTTAACAGTAACAGAAAACTTTAAAATATTTTCTGCAAGCATTTGATTTGCCTAAGCAATTATACTGCAAGCATATGTTGGATAAGGCCGAGGAGGGGTTTACCTATTGATGTTCGAACCTCATGATTTTCATGTCTTGAGAGTAAAACTCATCTGCTGCAGACAGCTGCCACTTAAGTTGCTGAACAAATCTGCATTCACTTTTACCACCTTCTGTACTAAGCTTATTAGATGTATAAGCACTTCAAAGTATGGAATTATTAATAATAGAAGGTACCATATTGATAGGTTAAAGAAATGAAAGCATTAAACCATGAACAAATCCAGATATTTCAAAGCATCTATTTTGTTTTCTTTATTCTTGTCAAAACCATGCATATGAGACTTTCAAACATAAATAAGTATTAAAAGCTCAAATTATTTATTGGTGATCATCAACGTTCAAATACAGAGCATATTTTCTTAAAAAAAAACATTTTGAACAGAGAAATAATTCCTCCTTAACAACATATAGTGGAGGTAACTTAAATTGGCGATCTGTTATCAATTAATTATAAAATCAATTACAAGTTGCAATTAATTGTAATTATATAAGCAATAATTATCAACAATTAAAAAAATACAATAAATGCAGTAATTAACAGTAATTAAAGCAATTAATTACATGTTTAAGGTTATTTTGGATGAACAGTAACAATTTTAATAAACAGTAATGTTTAATATACATGTACGATGAACCATAAAGAATGGTAACAGCAAATCTCGTGGATGCACAATATTTTTTTTTTAATTGTATTTTTCCCAAGTGAATAGTAAAATAAGGTTCTGGTGAACAGTACCTTTTATTTTCTAATAGCTATTTAATAGATAACCAAATGAAAGTAGCTACAATTAATCATATTAGACGAACAATATCAAAACAGATTATTATTATTTTTCGATGAACAGTAATGTTGATGAACAGTAATGTTGATGAACAGTAGCTTTTAACTATTTTTTCCGAATTAACAGAAATTATTCAGCAATAATTAAAAGCAATTAATTATAGATAAACTTATTTCGGATTTAATAAATCAACAGTTATATAATCAATCTTCTAGATTGTTGGAAATTTATCAAATAATTAAGATTATAGCATGCAGATAAATCCGAAAAATTAAAAACAATTAAAACTGGCCTGAACGGGAGCAGTCGTGTATTCACTGCCTTAGAAGATTGAGAACCCGCCTATCGCCCTGGCGCAGATGGTTCCCTCCCCCCTAGCGGTAAAAACCCCCGGAAACGGCCGGCCTCTACACTCGGGCGAGAGTGCAGAGCTTCAGCTCAGATGAAGGAAGTTGCCCATAAAATAAAACTAAAATGTAGATGAAAATAATATGTAGGGGAGAGAAGAAAAACAAGAGAAACTTGTTGTATATTTTCCTTTCTTATCATTTTGAGCTTAACATATGGATATATATATAGGGTTGGAAAAGACGTTACAAAACCCGTAATTAATTCTGTAACGTTCGCCATAAATTTTGTAACGTTCCCCATAATTATATATCTGTTATACATATTTTAATTGCATGTTTTAATTACAATATTTATTATAATTCATGAAGGCAAAATTGCCTTTTGTTAACAAAATATCTAACAATAGATTATGAGCATAAAACTTCTTGCCATGTTCTAGGCTTGGGAGCTCGGCTCGATCCACCGTAAAATATCCTCGATCCACCGTAAAATATCGCTAGCTGTTGTCACACATTGATTCTCTTGACTAACATTATAAACCCAAATTTTTTTAATGAAATCCAATATTGGGACTAAATTGGGGTACCAAACTTTTTACGATTCAAACTAATTGGGCTTACCGTATCCCTGAGATAAATCACAACGACAAATCCTATATTGCTATGCTAAGGAGAATTAGCATTTACTAAGACAAAGAAATTAACACCTTGTTTTAACTCTTGCTCAAGAGAATTTGCAAACGGCCATCAATTCATTACGGAAATCATTTTAGTGCTGCTGGCACTTAAGTTCGCAACCGTCGGCTCAATTCCAAAGAGACATGAACATTGCAAACAGCTTATAAGTAGCAAATAAACAGAATATAATCAAATACTTCAAATAATTGATCAGTTACACCAAAATCCGTGTAGCAATAGTCACAACCCAAAAGGGGGCAAAAAAATTGAAGACTCGTCACATTTATTAGTTATTACTGTTTCACTAGCTGCTTTAATAACATGCACATAGAACCGCCAGCAGATTAGAAGAACGACATTAACAATTCAATGCATACCATTGCTGGCACCCAATTAGCATACAAGATAACTTTCAAGGGAGGTTAACTTCAACCTGTCATATATCCTTCACTGGAAATTTCTCTATCTATACATAAGCACTTTCCATTATTTTTCTCAACTCTGTAACTGAGTTCTAATCGCGCAAAAGAACTGGCGAAGGCTGCTTATAACTTGAACTACTCCCCTTAACTGATGGTAAGATAGAGCTAGAGCTGTCTTTTGAATTTGTGCTGAAATCATTTCCATGTCCAGGTCTTACCCAGATTTTGATGTGGCCTTCTCGAGAAATTGTAAGCACCGATTCTTTGGTAAATGTGAGGCCAGATAGAGGTTCGATGTGAACTCTGTGAGCAACTACAGGAGAGAGTTTGGGGACGTCTCTCATGCTTGGAGATGGTTGAAGGGTGCCTATAGGGATGATATCATCCCAATGTGGAGGACTTCCAGCGCCGAATGTGGGTGATCCACCGGGGGGACATCTCAATGGCACGGCAATTTCTTCCAAATTTAAGTCCCATAAAAGCAACTGAGTGTCCTGTAACACAAGAACAAGCACAATAAGTTACTGGGTAAATTGCAGACCCTTGAAATTTGTTTTTCCTATAACACCCAAAATCACACAAAACCCTCAAAACTCC